GGATGGGTATTCCAGCATGACAATGACCCAAAACACACGGCCAAGGCAACAAAGGAGTGGCTCAAGAAGTAGCACATTAAGGTCCTGGAGTGGCCTAGCCAGTCTCCAGACCTTAATCCCGTAGAAAATCTGCAGAGGGAGCTGAAGGTTCGAGTTTCCAAACGTCAGGCTCGAAACCTTAATGACTTGGAGAAGATCTGCAAAGAGGAGTGGGACAAAATCCCTCCTGAGATGTGTGCGAACCTGGTGGCCAACTACAAGAAACGTCTGACCTCTGTGATTGCCAACAAGGGTTTTGCCACCAAGTACTAAGTCATGTTTTGCAGAGGGATCAAATACTTATTTCTCTCATTAAAATGCAAATCAATTTATAACATTTTTGACATGCGTTTTTCTGGATTTTTTTGTTGTTATTCTGTCTCTCACTGTTCAAATAAACCTACCATTAAAATTATAGACTGATCATGTCTTTGTCAGTGGGCAAACGTACAAAATCAGCAGGGGATCAAATACTTTTTTCCCTCACTGTAACATCTGTAAGGTCCCTAAGTCAAGTATTGAATTTCAAGCACAGATTCAACTGCAAAGACCAATGAGCTTTTTGAAAGCCTCATAAAGAAGGGCAGTGATTGGTAGATGGGTAACATTACATTTACATTTTAGTCATTTAGCAGACGCTTTTATCCAGAGCGACTTACAGTTAGTTCGTTTTTTTGCAACAAGGCAAACCGTAGGGTAGCTCCCGCTCAGACCAAGAGACCAGAGGTGGCGGAATGGTGTCCTTGGGTTGGGATGTAGGGTTTGAGCATAGCCTGAAGGTAAGGAGGTGCAGTTCCGCTTGCTGCTCCATAGGCAAGCACCAGGGTCTTGAAGATGATACGAGCTTCGACTGGAAGCCAGTGGAGTGTGCGGAGGAGGGCAGTGACATGGGAGAACTTAGGAAGGTTGAACACCAGGCGGGCTGTGTCATTCTGGATAAGTTGCAGGGGTTTGATGGCACCAGCGGGGAGCCCAGCCAACAGAGAGTTGCAGTAGTCTAAACGGGAGATGACAATTGCCTGGATTAGGACCTGCGCTGCTTTCTGTGTGAAGAAAGGTCATACTCTACGGATGTTGTAGACCATGAACCTGCAGGAGTGAGTCACTGCTTTGATGTTTGCAGAGAAAGACAGGGTGTTGTCCAGGGTCACGCCAAGGTTGTCAACCGTGATGGAGAAGTCTGGAGCGGGCAGGCCTTTCCCAGGAGGAAAAGCAGCTCCATTTTGTCGAGGTTGAGCTTGAGGTGGTGGGTTGACATCCAAGCTGAGATGTCTGCCAGGCACGCAGAGATGCGTGTCGCCACCTGGGTGTCAGAAGGGGGGGAAGGATAAGAGTAGTTGACTGTCATCCACATAGCAATGATAGGAGAGACCATGTGAGGATATGACAGAGCCGAGTGACTTCGTGTAAAGAGAAAAGAGGAGAGCACCACAAGACCTGGAATCGCTTCCAGATGCGGAGGAAGAGCACCCTGAGGAAAGGAGAGAGATGGGAAAGGACACAGGCTGTAAGACAGGATGCTACTGAACCAAACATGATCTGGTTATTTTAGTTACCATTCTAATATCTATGCTGACACTGGTAGCCAATTTGAGGTTCATCAATGTTACATGACAGGAGAACCATCCCTCCTGGGGGATAGTTGATTATGTTCCTTTTATGTCCTGTTGAAGTAGCAACCATTGTACTTGTCAGATTTCAGCTGCATCACTAAGCACTCTGCAGTCTTCTTGTATTCGTCCTTGAGTTTAGGCTTTTGGATGGTTTGAGCATAACTATGCACCTGTGAATAAGCTAATTAAAAGTATGTCATGTGTATTCTTTCCCCTCAGAAAATAGAAGTGCAGATTACGATTTACCGTATGAAGTATGTTTGTTATGCTGATGTACAGCTTTTGAGGATCTGGGGGACACCAGTAGTGAGAGCACGTGGTGCAGACACAGATTCTATCCACACAACCTGGTAGGAGTAATCCAGGAGTGTGCAGAGCCTGAGACACCCAACCCTGAGAGGGTGGAGAGGAGGATCTGATGGTTCACGGTATATAACAACATTCCAACCTTGTTTAGCATTATATAGTCCAAATAAGGCATTATTCCACTATTTGTATCTGTTTGGATCCGTTTTTTATTTTGAAGGCAAACCGCAAATTCCACTATTGTCGTAAATCCTTATTGTGGCTAGCTTCACACAGGTTGAAAGCGCCACAAGACATGGGATCGTTTCCAGTTGTGGACCACAAGGGTCGTCCAGCACAGTCCATCTGAGATTGTCAAGCCATAGAGATAGATAGCAGACTAAATAGCCTTGGTTTCTCAAATGACTGCCTCGCCTGGTTCACCAACTACTTCTCAGATAGAGTTCAATGTGTCAAATTGGAGGGCCTGTTGTCTGGACCTCTGGCAGTCTCTATGGGGGTGCCACAGGGTTCAATTCTTGGGCCGACTCTTTTCTCTGTGTATATCAATGATGTCGCTCTTGCTGCTGGTGACTCTCAGATCCACCTCTACGCAGACGACACCATTTTGTATACATCTGGCCCTTCATTGGACACTGTGTTAACACACCTCCAAACAAGCTTCAATGCCATACAACACTCCTTCAGTAGCCTCCAACTGCTCTTAAACACTAGTAAAACTAAATGCATGCTCTTCAATTGAACGCTGCTGGCACCCGCCCACACGACTAGAATCACTACTCTCGACGGGTCTGACCTAGAGTATGTGGACAACTACAAATACCTAGGTGTCTGGTTAGACTGTAAACTCTCCTTCCAGAATCACATTAAGCATCTCCAATCCAAAGTTAAATCTAGAATCGGCTTCCTATTTCGCAACAAAGCCTCCTTCACTCATGCTGCCAAACATGCCCTCGTAAAACTGACTATCCTACCGATCCTTGACTTCGGCGATGTCATTTACAAAATAGCCTCCAACACTCTACTCAGCAAATTGGATGTAGTCTATCACAGTGCCATCCGTTTTGTCACCAAAGCCCCATATACTACCCACCACTGTGACCTGTACGCTCTTGTTGGCTGGTCCTCACTACATATTCGTCGCCAAACCCACTGGCTCCAGGCCATCTATAAATCACTGCTGGGCAAATCCCCGCCTTATCTTAGCTCATTGGTCACCATAGCAACACCCATCCGTAGTATGCGCTCCAGCAGGTATATCTCACTGGTCATCCCCAAAGCCAACACCTCCTTTGGCCGCCATTCCTTCCAGTTCTCTGCTGCCAATGACTGGAACGAATTGCAAAAATCTCTGAAGCTGGAGAGTCTTATGTCCCTCACTAACTTTAAGCATCAGTTGTCAGAGCACCTTACCGATCACTGCACCTGTACACAGCCCATCTGAAATTAGCCCACCCAACTACCTCATCCCCATATTGCTATTTATTTTGCTCATTTGCACTCCAGTATCTCTACTTGCACATCATCTCTTGCACATCTATCATTCCAGTGTTAATACTAATTGTAATTATTTTGCACTATGGCCTATTTATTGCCTTACCTCTTTCTACAGAACTTGCTACATTTGCACACACTGTATATATATTTTCTGTTGTATTTTTGACTTTACGTTTTGTTTACCCCATATGTAACTCTGTAGTTGTTGTTTTTATCACACTGCTTTGCTTCATCTTGGCCAGGTCTCAGTTGTAAATGAGAACTTGTTCTCAACTGGCTTACCTGGTTAAATAAAGGTGAAATAAAAAATAAATAAAAATAAATAAATAGAGGACTCATTTTTATATCTTTACCACTATAGCCTTTGTGACAGCATAGGCAGCGCCATTGAGGCTACAACCCATAGGAATCCCACCCAGTTTACTACTTTAAAATGGCAGAAGCATGGTGGAAGCCCTCAATAAATCCTGCCTATTTCTACAAATTATCTTAAAATTTGATTTTAAACCTAACCCTAACCTTAACCACACTGCTAAGCTTATGCCTAACCCTAACCTTAAATTAAGACCAAAAATCACAACGTTTTAGGATCTAGCCAATTTTGACCCCCAATAGGGTCCAGCTGCGACGTCATCTCTCAGAGCAATCATCCCTCAGGATCTCTATGCTGCCAACTACTGATATGTCATTTCTCAGTGCAGTGCATCTCTCAGGAAAAGTGGGGGTTTCGAAAGGAACCAATAAGGAGAAGTGGGGTTTTTGAAAGGTGCCACTCAAGACGTCGTTTGGGTTATCGGACCTTAGTCATGGTCTGCAGAGGTGAAATTAAGGAATTTCATTTATGCAAAAAAAAAAAATTTTTACTCAATCTGAGCTGTCTTTGAACATTACCTATGTATGTAACGTTACGTTTTTCGTAAATGTAAATGCTCGCTAACGTTGGCTACCTTAACTTATTTTAAAAAATGCATTATCTTTACAATCTATTATTGAATATTTGAAATAATAATAATAATTGAAAGATCAGGTCATGGCGGTTCTAGTAGTTATGGAATTCCAGCGCTTCTAGTGTTAAGACTCCCTTTCGAAATCCCAACTTCTCCTTATGTGGTTAATTTCGACCCCTACACTTATATGGTTCCTTTCGACACCCCCACTTTTCCTGAGAGACGCACTGCACGGAGCGATGACATATCAGTAGGTGGCAGCATAGAGACCCTGAGGGATGACTCCTCTGAGAGATAATGTCGCAACTGGACCCCTATCAATTTTGACTTTGTGGCTGTGCTAACTAGTGGAAACCAGCAGATCACCGCAAACAGCATTGAGCCCGGTGTAGAGGTCGAGAAAACACTTGCTAACGCATACGCTGTTTTGTACGTCAAAACTGGAAACGGAAAAAAATAAACTGCACGTGACTTCCAGACAGACACATTTTGTCGGGTCCGAACGCTGTCTCGATTCACCACGGCGTCGCTTGATCAGAACCACGATTTTACAGTTTGCTGACGACCTGTATTTACAATAAAATTACTGGATTTTATTAGCAGATTAGCTAGCTACGTCCACTGATTTTGTGCAAAAGCGACTGTTTACAAGATTGCAAGCTAGCGACCGACATAGCTAGCCAGGTAAGCTTGTCAGAGTTAGTAAGACAGGTAAGCTTGTCAGAGTTAGTAGCTGCAGCAACTAGCTAAGTTAGCTCGTTAACCTCCCACAACAGTATTTATAATATTATTTTTAACACTATTCAGCTAGCTATCTATTACATTTTCCATTTTGTGGGGCAGTAGTTGGCTTGATCTCACAGTTGGTTAGCCAGCTAGCTAAATTAGTTAACGTTAGCTGGTTAGCCAGCTAGAAGTGTTAGCTAATGTCTAGTTGTCCAACTGTGTTGATTAACAAAATATGTGAACTCCTCATTTCAGATGCCGAGTCGAGTTAGAAACTTGAAGCGGCGAAAGGGGATGTGCACTGTTGCCTCAAGCGACTTCCATCTCGAGGAGAACAGTTCAGATAAGGTCAGTGAATGTTGTTTTTAGTTCTTCTCAGTTGACATTTTACGTTATGGATTGCGCAGGGGTGTAAAGAAGTTAATAAAAAATACTTTAAAGTACTACGTAGGTAGTTTTGGGGGGCATCTGTACGTTACTATTTGTATTTTTGACAACTTTTACTTTACTAACGTTACATTCCTAAAGAAAATAATGTACTTTTAACTCCATATATTTTCCCTGACACCCAAAAGTACTCGTTCCATTTTGAATACTTAGCAGGACAGAAAAGGGTCCAATTTACACACTCATCAAGAGAACATCCCTGGTCATCCCTACTGCCAATGATCTGGCGGACTCACTAAACACATACTGTGTTTGTAAATTATGTCTGAGTGTTGGCATATGCCCCTGGCTATCCGTACATTTTAAAAAACAAGAAAATTGTGTCATCTGGTTTGTATATTATAAGGAATTAGAAATTATTATTACTTTGACTTGTACTTTTGATACTAAGCATATTTAAAACCAAATACTTTTAGACTTTTACTCAAGTAGTATTTTACTGGGTGACTAACTTTTACTTGAGTCATTTTCTGTTAAGGTATCTTTACTTTTACTTAAGTATGACAGTTGGGTCCTTTTTCCACCACTGGGGTTGTCATTCATAGTGTTATGGAAGCCTGTTATTATTTTTAATAAGTTGTTGTTTTGACTTTATAGAGTTCAGGGAACAGGAGGGATGTTAAAAAAATGAAAATTGAAGACTCAAAAACAGAAATGCCCCAGAATGACTGGATGGTTGAAAGTTGTAGGGAGTCAACAACCATTTCAGAGAGGCTCAGCTGTGATGGTTGCGAGAGGCCTGAAAATACAAGTTGTGGAGCACCACCAGACCTGGAGGAATTGTGGGAGGGTAAAGAGAACGGTGTGAGATTTGAGTTGAATTACTGCCGAACAAACGGGTTGCCAGAGAAGATGGAGGATGACGAAACAGAAGAGGGTGTTGTGATTGACAAGAGTGTCTTCCTTGATGATGACAGTAACCAGGTTCTTCCTGTGGAAAAGTTCTTCGGAAACATGGAAGTTGTGCAGGTGAGAAGAGATTTTTATAACAAGTGTTAGGTGTGATAGACGAGATCCTGGTCTGATTTTTGGAGCACAATGGCTGCGTTTAAACAGCCAGCCAAATTCTGATATTTCTTCCACAAATTGGTATTTTGACCAATCAGATCAGCTCAGAAAAAGATCTGATGTGAAAAGACCAATTAGTGGGAAAAAGATCAGAATTGGATGCCTGTGTAAACGCAGCCAATAAAAAGGTTTCCATCCAACCATTTTATGAGAGTAATTATGCTTTCACGTGCTAGTCGGAACAAGAAAACGCAGACATTTCCAACATGCTATCTGGTTGAACGCGGCACGTGTATAACTACAACCTGTTAGCAAGTTGTACATTTCCGAGCTTCCTATTTCCGACTATGGTTATTGACATGCTCTGTTATTTCCATTTGCCTTGTAGGATTGTCCACAGAGATCTACTACGGCCAATTCGACTTTCAGCAGGAGGGAGCACAGGAGACGACAGTACTATGCCAAAGAGGACAGTGATGAAGAAGAGGGCTATACAGACATGCAGCAAGATCAAATAGTTGACACTTAGTTTACAGAAATAACCAATTCCTATCAATGGGATGGATTAAAACTTGGCCTTAAACGACCTTAACAAGCCTAATGTCACAGTTGAGCCTGGTAAAGTGGATTCGTTCAACAGAACCAGGGTATCAAGTTATTATTTTGCCAGCATGTACCCTAAAGTTATACATTTTGTATTGATATTTAAAAATATATTTGCACTAACAACTTAACGCTTTTCAATTATCAGGACCTATACTGTATATATTGTTTAAATGGTACAGGTTAAGTGCTCAGATTCTATTTTTTTAATTATCTTTTACTATATTATTACGGAATGCCTTATCAATATGTATGCATAATATTTGTAGTCAAAGTTGCACTGCCAATACAAGGAAACTTAATTTTGTAGTTTCAATTACCTGTGTCTGCATTGCGCTATTATTGAAACTAAGCATACATCTATCACATAATTAAGTAATTACACTTACAGGCCTTGGAGCTGTGATCAGATCGACTGTAATCATCAAATCTGCATGACTCCAAAACAACCTTTAATATTTCAAAATTTATTGGTTCCCCCATATACACACAATTATAGTGCAAACAGTAATTTTATTAGAATACATATCATTTTATATATCCAAATATAATATGAGGGCATCTCAAAAAATATATTTGAAAATGTCATAACAAATTGTTCCCTACACTTGTGATCAATCTGGTAATAACTCCACCGAGCCCTCTGATAGGCTGGGTGGAAGTTTCACCATTTGCTTATACCAATCAAATCCTCTCAGATCACCAGGGGTGTGTTCAGTACGACAGAACAATGTTCATCATTTAATTTCAACGGAAGCGGTACTGTTCTGAGCGAATAGTTGAAGAACGGTGTCATTATGGTTGCCCAGAGAGCGATTGTATGGCGTGTGCGGCACACGTTTTGCAATTTCAAATGGTCACATCCATATTGATCAGGCCAAACGCACCTCAAAGGCTGTTGAAGACTAGTGCGCACCGTTTTGGGGAAACGTGTCGTTATTACAAACTGACACGCAAACGTAGAATCGAACTGAACCTACCCCTTTGCGTAGGGCTCGGGACTATTTGCGATTGGCCCATTGACTATTACCCAAACAATAGCTCATGATGGAGTGCTTTAATATCACTAGCACAAAATGATCAAGAAATCAGCTGTTCTGATAGCAGCAGAAAACAATGTTCCCTGCCCATAATTACATGTAGTTATATTTACCAGTAATCATGCGTCTTGCACTTCATCCGTTATTTGTGTGTGGTGGGGAAATCATAAAATTCAAGAATAACCAACAAACAGTAGAAAAACATCTACCCTGCGTCTTCACTTGAAAATCATTTTGATTTGCGTCGTTTGTACAATTTGCTTTCGTCACGGGCACCTTTCTTATGGCATACAATATGCACCAGCTTCAGATTCTCCCTAGTGAACAGCAGTTTGTAAAAATGGTCCAGGTCTATGTCGCGTCTCTTCGGTTTCTTCAGTGCGTCCACCAGGTCAGGAATGACCGTCCTCCTCTTCTCAATGCTGGGACAGAAAGAGATTTCAGTCAAGATTTGATCCACAACAGACAGGACACACATGTTGCAATTGATAATCAAGCAGGCTTTTTTGTTATACTGTTTACAAACACAATTGAGCCTAACATTCTGAATTACATTTATAATCTTTATTATTCACTAAACCCACATGTGGTCCAAGTTCCAGGTGCTAAAGATAATCCTGCTCTCTCTGTTTCCATAGGGGTTGATTGAGTGATGGAACTCGCATTTAACCTGGTCAAAAGCACCCTGAGGAAAGGAGAGGGATGGGAAAGGACACAGGCTGTAAGACAGGATGCTACTGAGTCAAACATGATCTGGTCCTGTTAGTTACCATTATAATCTCTATGGTGACACTGTTAGCCAATTTCAGGTTCATCAATGTTACCTGACAGTTGAACCATCCCTCCTTGGTGCATAGTCGATTTTGTTCCTCTTCTGTCCTGTCGAAGTAGCAACCATTGAACTTGTCAGATTTCAGCTGCATCATTAAGTAGTCTGCATGTATCTGTCCTTGAGTTTAGGCGTTTGGATGGTTTGAGCATAATTACGCACCTGTGAATAAGCGAATGAAAAGTCTGTCACGTGTATTCTTTCCTCTCAGAAAATAGAAGGGCTGATTACAATTTTCAGTATGTATGGAGTAGGCTTGTTATAATGAGGTACGGCTTTTGAGGATCACTTCTTGACAGTGCCAACCACTTTCAGTGTCAAACCAAAGCATCAGTAATTCATAAAGTATTCACACCCCTTGACTTTTTCCACATTGTGTTACAGCTTGAATTTAAAATGTATTAAATTGAGATTGTTTTTGACACTGGCCTACACACAATACCCCATAATGTCAAAGTGGAATGTTTTTTAAAAACATTTTTACAAATTAATTTAAAAGGAAAAGCTGAAATGTGTTGAGTCAATAAGTATTCAACCCCTTTCTTGTAGAAAGCCTAAATAAGTTCAGGAGTAAAAATGTGCTTAACAAGTCACATAATAAGTTATCTGTACTAACTGTGTGCAATAATAGTGTTTAACATGATTTTTGAATGACTGCCTCATCCCTGTACCCCACACATACAATTATCTATAAGGTCCCTCAGTCGAGCTGTGAATTTCAAACAGATGAAACCACAAAGACCAGGGAGGTTTTCCAATGCCTCGAAAAGGGCACCTACTGGTAGATTAAAAAAAAAAAAGCAGACATTGAATATCCCTTTGAGCATGGTGATGTTATTAATTACACTTTGGATGGTGTATAAATACACCCAGTCACTACAAAGATACAGGCGTCCTTCCTAACTCAGTTGCCGGAGTGGATGGAAACCGCTAAGGGATTTCACCATGAGGCCTAACAGTTACAGGGTTTAATGGCATAGAAGACTGAGGATGGATCAACAACATTGTAGTTACTCCACAATACTAACCTAAATTACAGAGTGAAAAGAAGGAAGCCTGTACAGAATACAAATATTCCAAAACATGGAAAATATGTTTGAGGCAAATACAATACAAATGAGCACCACTCCATATTTTCAAGCATAGTGGTGGCAGCATCATGTTATGGGTATGCTTGTAATCGTTAAAGACTGGGGAGTTTTTCAGGAATGGAGCTAAGCACAGGCAAAATTCTAGAGGAAAGCCTGGTTCAGTCTGCTTTCCACCAGCCACTGGGACATTAATTCACCTTTCAGCAGGACAATAATCTAAAACACAAGGTCAAATCTACACAAGTTGCTTACCAGGAAGACAGTAAATGTTCCTGAGTGGCCAAGTTACAGTTTGGACTTAAATCTATGGCAAGACCTGATAATGGTTTTATAGCAATGATCAACAACCAATTTGACAGAGCTTGAATAATTTTGAAAATAATAATGGGCAAATGATGCACAATCCAGATGTGGAAAGCTCTTGGAGACTTAATGACTCACAGCTGTAGTCACTACCAATGGTGCTTCTACAAAGTATTGACATAGGGGTGTGAATACTTATGTTAATTCGATATTTCTGTATTACATTTGCAAAAGTTTCTAAAAACATGTTTTCACTTTGTCATTGTGCAGTATTGTGAAAAGATGTATAAAAATATATATATTTCATCCATTTTGAATTCAGGCTGTAACACAACCTGTAATAAGTCAAGGGGTATGAATACTTTGAAGGCACTGTAGTTTCACCTCTTTCATGTATCCACGAATCCTCATCTCACAGTTGTACTTAATGTAGGCCGATTTGGTCTTAAATCTGTCATCAATTCCTGAAAGCCCAGAAATAGAACGGTGCAACCATAAAGGCACAGTTTGTTTCAGATGATTTATTATTATTTTTCTCCATCTTGCTTTTGGCTGCCACATCATTTCCTGCAGCATTTCTATCTATCCCAAGATTGAGGACTTGTTACCTTGGAACCAGTCTTGATCATCTTCTCTCTTTTCAGTCTCAGAGCTGTCGTTCAAGTGCAGGAGCGTGTCCCCCAGGAGTCTGTGTGTCGTTGGAGACCGATTGTCAGAGAGAAGCCCCGTAGTCAACTCAATCAACTTATCTGCTTCCCTGTCGGTGTCCAGCAACCGTTCTATGTCGCTGACAACTGGAATAATCACAAATCATACCAGTTATTTCAATTGGTTCACAGAACAACCTCTGTCACCTAAACATCCAAGTCATGGCACCCATGTAACCGATTGTATTTGAAGCCCAGACAGCCTCACTGGCAAGTATCACTTGCAGGCATGGTTAGGCTACTCATTACGCGAGCGTGGTTAACTGCTCTTCCTCCAAGTGAAAGCTTTTACCAATGCATCCTTTTCAAATCAATTACCACTGTTAGAAATTGCGTAATTCAAATCTGGTATTGGAATAAGAATCAAGAGATCTTCAATCCAAGCTTAATTTATTATATGCAAAATGTATGTATGATAAGTATGAAGGTTCGTATATACGGGTCCGCTGAGATACCACGCAGGGCACTCAGAGAACTGATCCATTGTTTACAGGTTATTTCTCAAATACTCTGACAGAGAGTTCCCACCTCTTCTGTTGGCCAATCAGAGTAAATGACTGAGTGTGGTTTAGACTTTACTCAGCCAATCCGTTGGCGCACGGGTTAGTCCCACCCCTTGGCGCTCCACCGTTCCCAGGCATAAGTTTATCATAACAACCTGTAGAGTCAGCACCCAAAAGACTGTACGTTCCTACATCCAAGGACGGTTCACAGACAACGGTTCACAGACAACAAAGAGGCAGTGTTCGTATCTGTAAGAAATACAAGTCTTATCTGTCCTTCCCCTAACGTTCCACACATGAATCACAGCCTGTTATGTGAAACAATTTATATCAGTATAGTTCAAACCTATGCCCCTCATTAATGCATTCCTTCTAAGTTATTCATCACATACAGATCCAATTATGAGAAAAATAGAACCCAACACCACAAGGTTATGCATATTTGTAGAAGTGCATATTTAAGTTGGTATTGCTATCATTTATTTACTATACACAGCTACATAAAGTACGTCCTAAACCCTATATGAATGTGCATTGTGCATGCCACCAAGTCTGAGGTTGTTAGTTGGCTAGTTACTATGTTTTTTTATTTTTACAGTCTTTTACAGTTACTTTTAATGTTTCACTTAATGTTTCACTCACATCCGCTCCATCTTTCATTCTTGGCAAGAAGGACAAGTTCAGCATTGTCTGGAAACTATAGAAATAGTCCTCTGTCAATTCTGTTCCATCTTCATACAAGGAAATATGCGAATCGACGAGTGGAACCTAGAAGAAAATGATTCACATAATAATTTTAACAAAATAATGTAACTTTCATTATCGCCACTTCCTGGTTGCAAGTTTAGACACGCTGTTTTGGTCTGGTAGCAGCATAATGTGCCAAACAGCTAGCTACTGGACGAAATCGTACCTGTATAAATTCACTCCCCTTTTTGAGAAGCTTGTTCAGACTTGTTGCAACCAATCCATATTTTTTTGTTCCATTCCGATTTCTTATTTAGACTTTTTTTTTTTTTTTTTTTTTTTTGCGAAATCGAAACATTGCGCCTTTTCTTCTATGAAGACTATTGTGCAGAGGCTGGAAAATTATCCAACATACTGCCATCTAGCGTTTTAGAACAGCACGTGCACACAGTTGACACAAAGTGTGTCACTCAGCTGCTTCTAGAATATCCTGTAGTAGATGCAGATAAAAAGGTGAAGAGGATCTCAATTATTATATTACTTATATTCTGTAAATCAGGGGCCTGATTTTATAGGTAACTGTAGCCTACATGATCAGTTCTTACAAATGCGCTCTCTCTAGGTTGCAAGTTTTGGTCCAGAGCATAGACTTATTTGGACCAGACTTCACAGACCATCAAGCTAAGCTGGTGAGTGTGCTATGTGAGTGTGTTTTCTCCCCATTTCACCTAGTAGTGGCAATGGCCAGTGTATTTTGACAGTCAATCCCTAGGAAGATAGGGGAGGATGTCAAATTGATTAGGATTTGTTATGGTCCTCCTCACCCTGACCACTACAGTATAGACAACGCCGTATTTAAATCCAAATATAAATAATGGGTCTGTGGATGAGGGTCGTTTTCCAGGGATAATATCATGCCATGCAATGTCCAACAGTATGTGTCCTTCCCAAACCAGAGGGTGGCGATATGAATACGTGCTGATCTCCCGCCATCTCTTTAGTACATTTTGAACGAATAAGAAGAAAAGGCATAGCAACGTTAATATCACCGTAGTAACCGATGCCAAGTGACGGGAGAAACCAATTTAGAGGGAACATAGGGTAATGGAACAATTTCATTCAGTTAATTTGGTAATCCTGCATTTACATAATCCATGTTAAAATGAACAACTTTAGTCTTTGACTGTATCAGTCGATTTGATTTTTAAAAAATGGTATTACTATTCATACCTTCATTGATTTTACCTTCTTAATCTTTACCCCCCTATTTGAAAGTGAGCTATTTTGCTTCCCCTGTTGCCAACATGCCTGGATAGCTAGGATTTCAAATAAGCGAGTGTAAACTGATTTTAGACAATACTTCGCGACATTTTACTTACTACAATTAGAATCATAGGTAGTTAGGGTAACGTAATCTTATTTTCTGAGGATTGAGAATAGTGCAACGTTCGCTTTGCTATATTAATGTACAAGTTATAATGTTTGCTAACGTTAGCTTCAGCTTGCAAGCAAACGCGTTAACGTTACTTACTGATAGCAAACGTACCAAACCAAACCCGCTAGCAAGCTAGGGTTTGTTTTAGCCAAATATAGCTAGCTAAATTTGACTTTGCTACAGACTCTATCCTCTCAATGACCGACGACGACTGGAAAGGACTCTTTGAGAGAGGACGGGTGATTCCTCCACACAGCCAGACTGTTCGACAGGCACAGGACTCATCTCACACCCATTCTCAAGGCTTCCAAATCACCCTGAAGCATCTTGACGGACCTCACATTCAACGGGTAGGCCTACGCCATATTTGCATAAACCTTGCATCTGATGTAGCTAAATAAAATGAAGAGTTAGCTAGCTAATGTCATTCGCAAGTTTGGTTATAGCCCAGCCTGGTAGGTAGACTAACGTTAAGAGCTGCCAATGGTTAGTTAGGGACCCGTTTCTAATTGTCTGCCAGTTACAAACATTTCTACTCCCCTCGTCACAAAGGAGAAGGAGGAAGGGGAGTCAGAAGGGAGTGAAAAGAGGGAACCAGTCAAGTACCAGCTGAGTGTTACCCTGTTCGATACCAGCCACCAACACTTCTTCGGGAGAACGTGGAAGAGCTCGCCCCAACAGATGAGTGGTGTCCACAGGGCGATGTTTAATGAGGTACACAACTGCTCTAGGGAAACAACACACAGTTAACATTGTCTCTATAAACTTGTCAACCACATTATCCTGAGTGACTTCAGGATGATAAGGAGGAGTTTACGCTGATATGCCCTGTTGACACTTTGTGCCTGCTCAGGTGATCTGTTCGAAGGCATCACATCTGTGATGCATTGTGGGTAAATTGTGATTTATTGATCTACAAAAAAAAAAAAGTAGTTATGTAAGCCTACAAGGTGGAACAAGCCCACTGGCTTTCAATGGCTTAAGAGGCCAGACCCGGTGCCCTATTCAATCAACTTGAGGAAACCGTTTTAAGTAGATTGAACATTCACGCTGGAATATTTTTTACTTCCCTAACGATAAGCGGCTCAGGATTTGCTGAGGTACAAGAAAGCCAATAATCATTTGCATTGGATTTGATTGATACCTTGTACTTATGCACCATAGACCAATAATAAGAAACAAACAACAACAAGCAAGTGGCAGGCTTTTCTGTGAATTACCAACAAAGCTGACTGCAGAACTGAAGGCAGTTGGGTAACATGTCAAAAAGTTTACTTTTTGCCTCCTCACCTCTGGTAGGAGAGCCTTAGTTTTTGAGCAGTTTGCACTAGTCTGTTCAAATTTGCAGGCACCTAAAGGGCATGGGCTAGGCCAATGGTTGTTTTTGGACTGGGCTAGAATTTCCAAGGAAAATGGAAGTGTCTAAAAAGGTTTCCATTGGTCAGTATTTACACCAGTTATAAGGAGTTTGTTCAAGGGAGAGCTTACCCACAATTAGCTGTTAAAGGGGCTGAGTTGCTACCATTCCCACAACTTTAGAGAACGTTCCCTTAAGAGTCTCATTAAGTCATTACCTTGTGTTTTCATAGGAATGTTCCAGTGATGTACAAGGACTGTTTCCAAGAGACCATTCCCTTAATGTCAAACATAACTTACCCAGAACGTGTTTACCATGTTCTTAGAATATTCAATATTAATGTTCTAGACACGTTTCATTGGAAAGTTGCAAGAATATGCCAGTGTCCAGTTTTCTGAGGGTTAGGAGAATATAGGTCATTATCAATAAAACATCACAATACGGTGCAGAGCGTTCGATTTGGCTGCAGGGGGGCAAGGAGACCCTCAGCTCCGCTAAAACATGTCGTTTTCAAGGGATTGTTAAATACATTTTAACTATTTGTTTTTAGTATCATCACCTCTTGAAGAGTCTGAACTACACGTTTAATCCACATTTAGCTCTATCATCAGAGTTGAATATTCAGAGAACATACAGCAAGTAACTGCATGCTTTTCATGATCAGTAAACATCAATTGATCATGTATTTTCAAATACGTGAGGGTAGCCTATCCATTTCACATGTAGCTACCTTGTTAAGCAAACAACGTGTCATTTAGCTTACTTCTTCAGCGATTAGGCTTTTGGAAAGAGCTTGACATCTTCCTGGTAAAGTTGTCAGTCGGACAAACATTACTATTATCACCACTATAGATGGCATGCAAATCAAACAATATTTGGATATAGCTAGCCATGTTGTTTATCCGCTGAAAGTTAGCTTGTTAACTAATCATATTGATGTGATCTGTTATTAGCTAGCTAGCCAATTTGACGTGGTCTATCAATCAATGTAGCCTATCATGTCTGTCAGCAGCAATCGTGATTGAACACTTAAACAATGTTGAAAAGGGGATAATGTTAGCTAACATCGCTAGGTAGGTCTACGTTGTTGGAGGAAAAAGTACTTTAATTCTGCTAACCAATATGTTTAGCCAACTGTACAAAGTTTCTACCGGTAGCTTGCAAAGTAAACATTATCAGCTAACAGTACATCGACAAATGCGACCTTGTGCTGCTTGACAGGCAGAGCCCACAAAGGATGGGGAAATTAACCTAAACCACTCATACTCATACATCTGTGTCCCCTGTAGCTCAGTTGGTAGAGCATGGCGCTTGCAACGCCTGGGTAGTAATAATATAATAATATGCCATTTAGCAGACGCTTTTATCCAAAGCGACTTACAGTCATGTGCGCATAACTTTTTACGTATGGGTGGTCCCGGGGATCGAACCCACTACCCTGGCGTTACAAGCGCCATGCTCTACCAACTGAGCTACAGAGGACCATAAATTAATGAAATACATTGGATTTGACATCAGACAGTAGGTTCGTTTCCCACGGGGGGCCAGTATGAAAATGTATGCACTCACTAACTGTAAGTCGCTCTGGATAAGAGCGTCTGCTAAATTACTTAAATGTAAAAATACTTGTCAGGTGTAGTTCACTTTTATTTTATATCACTCAAATATCCAATTAATGGTGGCCAATATTGAGAGAGATTGTGAGGCTACCCTAACGTAGGCTATCTGAAATTTGCAGTTCTGACTATGCTCTTCAAGAGGGGATGATATTACAATCAAATAGTTTATTTAACAATCCCTTGAAAACAGCACGCAGTTGTCAATGGTTTTAGCGGAGCTGGTGGTCTCCTTGCCCTCCAGCAGCCAAATCAAACGCTCTGCACCATATTGTGAAGTTTTATTTATAACGACCTATCCATCAACGTAACACCAAACACACACAGAACATGGTTGCCATTTTCTCAGAATATAAGATATTAATGTTCTAGACATGTTTCATTGGAACATTGCAAGAGCATTCCTGTTTTCAATTATGTTTAAAACAGGACGTTCTGTCATGGTCCCCTTGAGGTTTTTGTCTTGTTCCCAGCTTGTTCAGGGGATGCCCTTAAACACGTTTTTAGGACGTCGCCAGATGGTCGCAAATAAATGTTATCTGAAACACACCACCCCTTGTTACTGTTGCTGAGCCCATCAAGGCCCTGATTGGTGAACCACTGATCTATTCACAGCTCTTTGTCTGTTGGCAAGGTGCTCGACTCCACTTTATATAAACTTAAATCGGTTGCTGGATCCTCGTTTATAATCCAGAGAACAGAAATAGGACAGCACTCTGGTAAATAAACTTAAATTGACATTTTTATTGCTGCACAAACGTTTAGGGTATGAGCCCTTCTTCAGCGTGCTAGGCTATGGCAATCCTAACATACAATGTTTTCAATTTACATCTTTGACACACATGATTACATTGTGCATGTTCATTTATACAGTAATTATTATTCAACATGTCTTCACCTGGGATTCAGACTCACAACCTCTTGGTTCACGACAT